ACCTACTCCAGGGAGCCACCTCCTTTGCTCCCAAGGCATGGGGCACATTATGATCTTAGAGCACTTATCACCTTGCTATAATGTCACAGTCCTGTGGATAGACTGTTCAGCTTGTATTCCCTCTTCAGGGCTTGACTCAGTAAGATACCCAGGGAATTTGTGCTGATTTATTGATTCTCCTTGTTGGCAAACGAACCTGGGCCAGCTTTTTCAACATCCTCCTTTAAGATCTTTTCAACAAACCCAGGAGATGCTCGTAAGAACTGGCAGGCTGGTTAGAAGTGAGAAAAACAGGAAGCCCCTAGGATTTAGGGGCTATGTATCTGGCAAGAAAAGTACATGGGGTTTCCCAATCCTCTGAGGAGCCCCCAGATCCTTTGGTGTCACCCTTGCAAAATATCTAAAATGTACTAGCTCTGCCATCATTTACCAAAAAACAGCATTTAAAAAAAATGGGAGTTGAAAATGTCCATGATCAGGGCATCTGGGTGGCTTGGTCGGTTAAGCGTCCGACTTCGGCTCAGGTCATGATCTCACGGTCCATGAGTTCGAGCCCTGCGTCGGGCACTGTGCTGACAGCTCAGAGCCTGGAGCCTGTTTCAGATTCTGTGTCTCCCTCTCTCTCTGCCCCTCCTCTGTTCATTCTCTGTCTCTCTCTGTCTCAAAAATAAATAAACGTTAAAAAAAAAATTAAAAAAAAATGTCCATGATCTATAAAAAAGGAATGACTTTATAGCAAAAGAAAATTATTTCAAAAAAATAAAGTGAAATTAAGGGGAAATGGGAAGAGAAAACAATTGCACGCAAAGAGATGTGGTCAGTGTGTAATGTAAGCTATTGATTGATAGTAGCAACATGAAGAAATAAAACGTAGAATGATTATAGTTTATTGGGTACGTATCATGGCCCATGCACTAGGCAAAATACTTTACCTGTGCAATCTCATTTAATCCACACCACCATTCTAAAAAGCAAGGATTACTGTCCCCCAGATTATAGGCTGAGAAAGGTTAAGTAACTTCTCCAAGATCAAACAGAACTGAGAATGGAATCCAGGTCTAACAGCAAAGTCCAAAGTTAACCATACTAATGTTTTCTTTTGGGTGATATATTTTAAATATTTTTATTTTTAAAAAAATGCTTATTTTGAGACAGAGTGCATGCTGAGGAGGGGCAGAGAGAGAGGGAGAGAGAGAGAATCCCAAGCAGGTTCCATGCTGTCAGCTGTCCGTGCAGAGCCCAATATGGGGCTCAATCTCACGAACTGTGTGATCATGACCTGAACTGAAATCAAGAGTCAGAAGCTTAACTGACTGAGCCACCCAGGCACCTCTTGACTAAATATTTTTAAATTGCAGTAAAATATAATTGAATTTTTTTTTTTTAATTTTTTTTTTCAACATTTATTTTTGCGACAGAGAGAGACAGAGCATGAACGGGGGAGGGGCAGAGAGAGAGGGAGACACAGAATCGGAAAACAGGCTCCAGGCTCTGAGCCATCAGCCCAGAGCCTGACGCGGGGCTCGAACTCCCAGACCGCGAGATCGTGACCTGGCTGAAGTCGGACGCTTAACCGACTGCGCCACCCAGGCGCCCCTGAATTCTTAGTACACAGGGTATTCAGAACATGTCTGGATCTGAAGGCCCAGACCTCCCAGGCCTGAGGGCCCACCAAGCAGTCCAGCCTGGAACAGCAAACACATAGCACCCAGGCCCATCCTAAATGGCCTTTGTGTTGTTTTTAATAAACTAAACCATCAGCTTCCCCTCTCATGATTTAGCTGTCTTCCTAAAGTTCAGATCACATGGTAAAGCTCAAAGAGCTAATTCTCTTCATCCAGTCATTTCCTAAGAACCAGTAACAGACTAATCACTTACTTTGTAGAATGGGCCAGGGGTGCCTGGGTGGCTCAGTTAAGCATCTGACTTCTGCTCAGGTCATGATCTCGCGGTTTGTGAGTTTGAGCCCCGCATCAGGCTCTGTGCTGACAGCTCAGAGCCTGGAGCCTCCTTCGGATTCTGTGTCTCCCTCTCCTTCTGCCCCTCCCCTGCTCATGCTCTCTCTCTCTCTCTCAAAAATAAGCAAACATTAAAAAAAAAAAAAAATTTAAATGGGCCAAGGGTATTAATAGGCAGCTGACAGAAAAGGAAATATAAATGGCCCAAATCACTTTTTATAATGTTTATTCACCCATTGGGGAAATGCAAAAACTACAGAAACCCATTTCACTGGCCAAAATCAGAAAGCTCTGGGACACATGGAGACAGCTCTCACACGCTGGTGGCTGTGGCTGCTGGAATGAGCTCCTCCGTGGAGAGCAATTCAGCAACACCCATCACTACTGCACATTACTCTTGGACTCAGGAGTTCCACTCCTGGGAACTCATCCTTCAGACTGACCTGCAGGTGCAAAATAATCCATATACACCATTTATTGCATCAACGGTTATAATTGCAAAGGACTGGAAACAGCCCAAGGGGCCTGGTTAAGCAGACTATGGTACATCCACACACCCAGGCACCCCTGAACAAGAATGGGGACACTCTTTCAGTATGGCCATGGAACCCTTCAGAATGTACTGTGAAAAAAACCAGACAAGAAGGCAGCCTCTGGGGAGGGGAGGTGGCGGCTGGGGCAGTAGACTTCACTGAGGACTCTTCAACACCTTTTGAATTTTGAACCATATGAAATATTCAGAAAAACAAAATACATATTGAAGCTTTCCTCCATTACTAAAGGTTCTGGCTTAGCTCTAACTAGGTGAGTTATTGTACACGCTCTCTCCTGCAGTATATATGGCCTTATAGAACTCTCGAGCAAAACCATGGAGAGTCAGTGACTACATCAGCAGGGGCTCTGCCCCTCTGCCAGGGTCACCCGGGGCCCGCACTTCCTCCCTCTGTCCACAGGTGGCACCAGGATGACTGCCACCCTGGACAGATGGTGGTGGCCTGGGAAGCCCCACGGCCTCAGGCTGCTGACCAAGAGTCAAAGAAACAGGCAGTCACAAGTAAGTAACATAAAATAGAAACTAACTTTATTTCTCTGGAAGAAGCAGGTATCCATAGCTGGGGCAGCAACTTTGGCGACACAGGCTGGTAGGAAAACACAGAACAGCACAGGGGAGGAGCTGGGTCAAAGAGGAAGCACTGGTATCCCTCCAGGGCAGCTGCCCCCTTGGTCTCCTTCCAACCCTGGGGCCTTGGGCCCTGGTCCCTGCCAGAGAACAATCTGGCACCCTCGCTCTGCTTCCTGAGCCACTCAGGGCTATTTCCAGGCACAAGATCCTAAGACCAGCCTAGTCCCATAACATATCCATGGTGAGGCCACAAGTCACATTCTCTCCGACACCCTAACTGCCCTCCAGGGGATCCCTGGAGAAGGGCCCTACCCTGGGAGGGCTTGCTGGGTGCTGGTCCACCTTTCTGTGTGGCCAACACATCCTCCCTGCATGAGTCAAGCCCTGCTTCCCCACTGTCAGAGCGTGGAAACACACTCCGGCCACAGGCCCAACCAGCGGCTGGAGCCAGAAGCAGGTCAGCTGCAGGGCCTGCTGAGGCGGCCACCAGGCCTGCCTTCATGGGGTTCCTTCCCACCCCTTGGCTAAGGGCACCAAGAGCTGATCCAAAGTTGCAGGGACAGCACTGGGTGAGGGAGGGACAGCAAGGCGGGGCTCCCAGTCTCCTGCTGCCTTGGCTTTGCTCTGCCACGGCAAGTGGCAGCAGGTCCTCCAGGCCTGGGCAGGTCTTCTCCCCACCCTTGTCAGATGGACAGGCTCAAGTGATTCCTTCAGGGCAGACCCTCTGGCTCTTCAGACATCTCAGCGCCTAAAGGACGGAAAACGACGAGAAAGCCCCTCTATCAACACAGGGGCTGATTCAACAGAGTGTCTAGAGTGCGTGGGCACAAGAGGGCCTCTTGATGGTGGGCTAACGGTTGAAAAGTCAGCAATGATTTTGGAACTTATCATCTTGGGATGCCTTTTTCTCTTTAATTAAAAAAAAAGAGAGAACAGCACTACTGAGTATTAGACTATCAGAGGGCAATAGGCACGGTAAAGCCTAAGTTTCTTTGGATGCAAATTAGTAAGAATCACCACAAGTTAACAGCTGACACTCGGTGATGGTGTCCCATGTGCCAGACACTTGCTGTGTGGTTTGACAGATGCATCCCTCGTTTCTTCTAGTCATTTCTATGAGGTAGATACTGTCATTTGTACAGATTTTTTTTCCCCCCTAAGTTATCTCTACTCCCAATGTGGAGCTAAAACTCACGACCCCGAGATCGTACTCTCTACTGAGCCAGCCAGGCCCTCATTAGTACACGTTTTACAGATGAGGATGGAGAGGTCAGGAAACATGCCCAAGCTGACTCCGTCCCTGAGCAGAAGGCTGGGCTCCAATTCCAGCTATCTGCTGCCAGGGCCCACCAGCTCCAAAACCCCCCACCCACCAGCGTCCCTCCGAGGACAATGCTGGGATCTACCCATATCTCTACCTCCGACTTGATACAATTCTCATTTATGATGTATATATTTACATTTATACTACAGATCATTTGTATCATTTATTACATGTCCACATATACATTTTTAACAGGAAAGTAATGGGATTACTTTTGGTTAAGCGTTCCATTAAAATGGCATTAAAACTTTAAACTGAAATACGAAATGGAGAGGTGAGAAATATATTGAAATCACTGAGCCCTAAACTGCTGCTCCCTGACGCAGGTTCAAGGGTGCTGTGTGGGGTTAGGAAGCAAGCCTCCACAAGGGGAGAGGCTCCAGTGCCCTCTCTTTACTTATTAGTTCTTTTGCACCAAGTGGCTACAAAGTCTAAATGCACTGAGGAGAAACTGTTTTCACCCAGAACTGCCTGCATCCCAGGGTGGGGGCTGCCTTCCCTCCTCCCAGCTGGGCAGCCCTGTGTCTCCTGGCCCTGCGAGGCCCTCGAGGCGTGGGGCTCTCTTCTAGCGGGGTATGCTCCCCGAGGGGCTCACTCACTTGTGGTGGGCGGGGCCGCAGGAGCCCAGGAGGTGGCAGCCTGCCTGCTCCAGGTTCCAGTCACACATCTCCAGCACCTTGTGGCACTCGCTTCGCGGCCGCAGACCCAACCCAAAGAGCTGCTCCACCTGAGGAGCAGAGGGTGGTGCCATGGGACACACTGGGGCTGAAGGGTAGGGGTAGGGGCAGAGGAGAGCCAGAGGCAGGACGGTAGGGAGGGGCAAAAGGAGGTGAGAGCGGCAGAACCAGTCTTCAGGGTCCCTGAAAGCCAGAGTGGGCAGGAGGTGGTGGTACCTTCAGATACTGGGCAGCCCTCTGCACGCTCCAGCTGTGACTCTGCAGGGCCGCCTGGCACTCCTCTGTGGTCACCCCATGCACCATGGCCTGCAGCTGGGCACACCCACCCACCTACCCATCAGCACCACTTGGGCCCATTCCTCCCGGGCCCTTGGGCCCCTGCCCCTCCAACCAGCGGCCAGGCCCGGTACTCACCATCTGGATCTTGTCTGTCGGTCGTCCAGCCTCTGGCCCGTCCCCAGGGCAGCCCCTCTGTGGCAGCCGTGCAGTGGCCCTCAGGGCTGGTGGCCGGACCCCTGGGTTACTGTTGTTGGTGGAGAAGTTGGCCTTGGGGTCTGGGGCAGCCTGGGGCATTGGTCGAACAGTGGCAGTGGGGGCGGCAGGGGCTGGGGTGCTGGGTGGGGGCAGCAGCAGGGGCACAGGCAAGGGGGCCGGCTCTTCAGGGCTTTGGGCCTCACGCAGGAAGCGCTGGTAGCGTTCCAGGTAGGGTGGGCGCTCGGGCAGCAGGTAATAGTGGGTGTTGCTGACCTTCTTGCCATCACGGACGATGGGTAGGATGCAGGGACCAGCCCGTGGGCCGGGTGCCTGGATCACTTGTGGTGTAGCATACTTGGGGTCTGAGGCAAAGCTCTGGGTGGTGGGCATGGTCTTCCCAGGTGAGCTTGAGAGCCGGGGTGGCAGTGGGGAGCTTCCAGGTGGTACCAGGGGGCTAGGGGTCCTCGAGCCTTGAGGGGACAGGGGCTCCCGGGGAGGCACCCGGGGAGGGGAGGCAGGTCCAGGCCACCGCCCTATCTCCTCCTCACCTGAGGGGGCTGGAGACAGCTCACCACGTGGGCGAGTGGGCCTCGGGGGGATGGGCACCCGGGGGGGCACCTGGGGCTTGTCCTCACCCGCTGGGGCTGGGCCAGGTGAAGGGACCAGGGAGCCAGCCGGGACCCGCAGCTGCCGCATGCACTCCTGCTGCAGCGCCTGGAAGATCTGTGCGGTCTGGGCCGAGCTGGGCGGCTTGCTCCCACCCTGGGGTGGGAGGAACAGATTGTCCTCCAGGGGAGGGAGGAGCTGCGCCTGCTCAGGCACAAAGGCATAATTGGTTTCACCCTGGCTGGGCCCAGCACAGACCCCTGCAGCCACCAGGGTGCTGTTGATGGAGCAGACTTCAAAGTCGTCCTCATCCTGGGCCACATCGTCGTAGGCAGGAGGCGGGGGCAGCGGGCGGGCATCCCAGTCCACCACAGGTGTGGGATGCAGGGGCCGGGGCAGTGCCCGAGTGGGGCTCTGCGGTGGAGTCTTGTCCAGCAAGGAGCAGGCATCCATGGCCAGCTGTGCCAGTGAGGGTGCACAGGGCCGGGGGGTGGGGACGACAGGCTCCTCGCCGAAGTCAATGAGTGTGACCTCGCTCCCGCCGCCACGCCCTGCCTTGGTGCCCGGCACCCGAGCTGAGGGCTTCGCCAGCCACAGCCCACGGGTCAGGCCTGGTTTCCGGAGGCCCAGCCTCTTGAAGTCGCTGGACAGAGGGTCCTGGTCCTCACTCACTGGGTCGTAGGTTGGCTCTAGGATAGAGAGGGAGATCCTAACGAGAAGGCAGTGTCAGGGGGATGGGAAGAAAGACAAGTGTCTTCCACCAACTCCCCACTCCTAATGCCCCCAGAGGTTAGCCCTCAGCTGCCAAAATTCTCAAGGCACACCAACCCTATTCACACGGGAGGACAGGACCTGCTCTGGACGCCATGAGCTCTCCACACAGGCTAATGAGCCCCTGCCTCCAACTCAGCTAGAGCAAGCAACACCCCACACCTGCCTGCCTAATACCCCAACACACAAGACCCCAGGTATCCCGGGCTCCTGGGCCTGGTTGGTAATCCCTTGTCCCCACTCCGTTATGGCACACAGCACACCACTAGTGCAGGCAGCGGGCTATGGGCAATCCTCCACCATTAAAGGCAACAGGAGCTGTCCTTGGAAGAGCACAGAGCTCCTGACTAGCCACCACGAAAGCCCAGACACAGCCTCTGCAGGCCCCAAAGGGAGTGGAGCAGGGCCAGGTGACGGTGGAGTGGGGGGACCAGGACCACACAATTGCTCCAGGAGCCCAGGTGTTTGCAAGGCGGGGGAGAGGCAGGCATGCTGGGCCAGGTCAGCGGCACGAGCTCACAGCACACATCCCACCTCCCCTCCCGCCCGGCCAGCCCACCAGGGCTCTGTACCTTTCAGAAGGAGAGGAGGAATGAGAGGAGAGAGGGGGCAGGGGCAGGGGCCAAGGCATCGAGAGCAGCCCCACTTACTCTGAGCGAAGATGGCAGGCTGAGGTGGGCGAGGTGGAGGCTCCCCTGCAAGAAAGGCCATGCGGAGAGTAGAAGGGACAGAGCGGGAGAGACAGAGGATGGGGGAGGGACGACAGCCAGACAAGAGGGCAGAGTGTGGAGAGAGACAGAGAGAGGGCAGTGAATAGGAGTGAGTGGACATACACACCCAAGAGCAATGGGAAGCAATGGGGTGGCAGGATGGGGAAAAACGGGTTCCGGAACAACAGGCACAGGATCCGGGAGATGGATGAGGCTCCTGGCCAACATGAAGCTCGTGGGGTGGTTTTGGCTTGGGAGAGGACAGCAGGATTAGGCGGGGGGTGAGGAAAGCCAGGATCTGAGCACAGTGGGAAGGAGGGAGGAGGGAAGCTGAGGTGGGCAGGCCAACACAGGACAGCCGAGGATGCCCACCTCGGCGGATACAGCTGCTTCTCATCTTCCACCCCACACCCAGCCAGAGCCGGGTCACAGCTGTCCCCCGGCAGCCCTGGCCCAACTGTCCCAGAGCCAGAACAGCCAGCTCAGAGTGCCTGCACAAGACAGTGCCTTTTCCTGGGCAGCTGATGAACTAGGGGGCACTGGGGAGCCAGGCTCTTACTTTTCACCCTTCCTAGATGTTGGGTGGGTCGGGAGGTGCTCAGTTCCACACTCAGCAGGTCAGGAGGGTCCATGGGGTTTCCCAGGTACAGTCTGTGGGGAGAGAACCGGGTCAGACGGTGGGGGCTGGGGGAAGGGTGTGGAGTGGTGACGGTCGTGGGGAACCTCAGGAGGAGATGCCCGGGGTCAGGCAGAGAACAAAACCCTGAGTGCATGCAGGGGACCATCTTGTCCAAGCCCTGCACAGACTTGGGTCTGGAGCACAGGACGTGGGATTCCCCGAAGACCGTACTCAGGGAGGGTGTCATGGAGAGAGGGCAAAGACAGAACTGACTGCAGGGTGAAAGGCTTGGACTGAAGGGGCTCCAACAATACCCTACAAAAGCAGAGCTGGCCCTCCATGACTGCCATGGCACCCCAACCCACGTCTAGCAGCCACCTGCTGGCACACTCTCTTCTGTCCTGCCGGGCCCGCTCCCCTGTCGGGGTCCGTAGGAGGCACCCTTCTGCCCCGCTGCCAGGTGGGAGAGGGGCTGGGCCACTTGCCTTGCTCCCGATTCACCCTCTCAAACCCTGTGCTGACTGTCAGGCCTTGGGACTTAGTCACTGAGCTGATGAAAGCCTGGAGGAATGGGGCTGGGCTGGCCGCAGCACGCCAGGAGCAGGGCAGAGGGTGCCGGGCCACCTTCTGGAGGGCGTCTACACACCTCGCCCCAATTCCCACAGGCCCGTGCTGGCTCACACCAGCTGCTCTCCCAGGGCTTCGGGTTCTGGTGTGTGGGGGCAAGAGGGCAGGCCTGCTTCACTGTGCCTCTCAGGGCAGAACCGAATGTCAGGAGAAGTCAGAGGAGAAAGGGCTGCCTCGAAGCCTCCCGGGGCCAGCAGAGAGGCATGAAGCCTGGGCTGAGGAGCTGCCAGGTGGCTCGCTGGGGTAGGGCACCAAGGAAGTGACTAATTCTTCTCCTCTGTGTCCTCCACAGAGGACAGGTCCCCAGTGACCTCATCCTTTCACTTAAAGGAGACTGAACCCCCTGCCAGGTAGAGAGTGAGCACGCAGGGGTGGGGGGTGTTGCCTAACCTTCCTCCTGGGCTTTCCCCACAGGGAGCTCTTTCTCTGGGCCCCCAGCTCACCCCCTGGCACCTGTGCACACCCCAGGGCTTGACCCAGCAGGCTCCATCTCCCAGACTCTACACAAACACTAGGGGGCATGACAGAAACCCTCCTGCTGAACTCATTCCAGAGGCTGTTCTCAAGTCCATGTTCCTAAGGTTGGTGTTCTGGAGGGGGGGGTTCCACCAAACAGAAGTGTGCCTCTATCCTCTGAAGCTCCTAACCTCAGTTCTGCCTACAGGGAACAGCTTTCAGGCAATAAGAGACCCTCTGCCCTATTGTTGTGACAAGGACCTTGGCAGTGAGAGCCTGCATGCCCAGGGAGGAGCTGCTGACTCTGGAGCCACAGGTGACCCCCACCCCCACAAATGCACTCACTCATCAATCTTGTCAGGGAAGCCCCAGCAGTGGCGGGGGTCACTGTCGCCATGTCCCGTGTGGATGAAGCTATTCTGCAGGGGTTGGCTGATGTCCTGGGCTGAAAGGCCAGCCACGGAGGTCACCACGTTGCGAGGAAAGGGTCCCACACACAGTGTCCGGGTGTTCTGTCCACGCCACCAGTAATTCTCAGCCCTGCTCAACAGAGATGACATGGTGAACACCAGGGTGTGTGAGGTGGCCCCAGGAAGTGGGACCCTTTTCATTCCAAGCTCTCTCCAGCCAGAATATATCTGACTATCTTGGCAGGAGGGGAACCAAGGGCTATGGCTCTGAGACCAGGCTGGTCTGTCATCAGCCTGCCTGCCCCACGACCTGTCACTCTCCCAGTACAGGGCCTGTTTATACACACCTTACCCTAAGACACTTAGGTGGGTCAGACAACCTTTTCCGACAGTTTACAAATAAGCAGATAGGTTACAAATAAGTGACAGGACTTGCCTACAGTTCCCAGACAGATCATAGCAGACTCAGGATTCAAATTTGGCTGTTAGTCTCCAGCTACCACCCTTCCTATAAATCTGCCTTGCCTCCCTCCTCCCTGGCAAGGCCTGTACCCCTACCCTCTGGCCACCTGACCTTGCTATTCAGCCCAGTTCCCGGGCATCCTGAGCTTCAGGGGCCAAGGGAACACCATGGCCTTAGCACTGGGCTTGGAGCCAAGCCCCCCAACCACACTCTGTCTCCTGCATGCAGCCCCTTGTGAATTTGGAAGCACTGCAAGCAACCCACGCCTTCCCATCACCAGTTTTTGTATCTCCAGTGTCTTCCACCACCTCTAGGCAGGGCTGTGGGACCTGTGCCCTTAACTCCGGTCATCTCCTGGGGAGTTCTACTCTTGTCTTAAATAAGGGGTCTATAAGGGGACCCAGCCTCCCAGTGCGGCTGGACTGTGGGACCACCCCCCCCCCACTCTGATCTCAGACACAGAACCTCTACTGACGTAGCCTAAGCCTGAGCCTGGGGTGGGGGTTGGGGTAGGATGGTGCCCTCCTGCACACTTCAAGTGGCAGGATGCAGCTCCTTTGTCTGCCACTAGGATCGCTCACACCAGATGACATGGGCAGAATCTGAGCTAAGGCAGAGGTAGTGCAGCCTCATGCCGCTGTGGTGGACACATGCACACACCCAGTCAACACCCACCTGGGCAGCCAGGAGCATCAAGGTCTCCTCCAAACTGGAGCCAGACCACAGGGACCAAGGGCAGATGGAGGCTGAGCTCCTGGACCCTCCTCCATGAGGTGACATGGCCCGTTGGGGCAGCACGACCTCAATCAGCCTGCTCTGGAGATCACAAGTCAAACCCCATGAGCACAGCAGTGCTTGGGAAGCCAAGAGGTGGGGCGGCAGAGGGCTGGGAGCCCAGCCTCCCCATAAACAGGGCCGCTGACCAGCCTACCACCAGACACAGCAGCCCTGTGATTACACCCTGCCCTAGGGTGGGAAGGGCAGGAAAGGAAGCAAGAAGAGAGGACAACACCCAGGAAGGGACAAAGCCCATCGGAAAACAGCAGGGCTGTTCCGAGAAGAGAACGTCCCCTAGCACCCCAGTCCCAAGGACTGGCTGAGGTCGAGAGCCTCCCATGAAGCAGGGCGAAGAGGGATGCCTGACACCAGGGGACCCCCTGCTGCTCTCTGCCCACCCCCACCCCTGCACCCAACGGCTCCCTGGGTTCTGCGTACCCCTTTACAGACCTTCTAAACACCAACCCCAGGCTGGACATTGGACTCTGCTCTCCACACCTCTTCAGAGGTGCTCATTAACCTGGGTGAGAGAGGTAACCGAGGCAGAGAGATAGTTCAAAGTAGGATGGAAGCATGTCCAAGGCCAGTTCCACCCTGTGACCCTGTCTTCCCTGTGTCGACCCTGAGCAAGGCCAGACTGGCAGGTCACTCCCTCCACCCCCTTCTTTTCGCCAGCACAGCCGAACACACAGGGGCTCCTTTGGACCCACTTCTGAGAGTGAGAGATGCCAACCCACCTCCCTTTATTATAGGTATGGCCGAGGCAAGAGCCTCCAGGACTGCTGGGAGTCCTGACATCACTTCCCAAAAGATCTGTGCTACTAGGGGAGGGGAGCTGGAGGGCAGGGCAAGTGTAAGACAGACACCCTCAGAAGCAGCATCCTCTCGACAAGGCTCAAATGTAAGTCTTGAGATGGCCAATGCTATATCGTGCTGCCTACCTGTGCCCCTCTGAGAATCAGTAGGGCCGAAGTACCAGCAGCTCAGAGAGGACTGAGGCCGCCCTCCCCACCCTCCTGCACTGGCCACACCCGCTCCCCCTCCTTGAACAGGCCAGAGTCTCCATAGCAATGGGAGGGCTAGGCCTACCATGGGCAGACACTGCAGTGAGGACAGAAGTCCCTGGGGGAACAGGAGAAGGGGCCAGCACCTCCAGCACGAACTCTCTATTTCCTGATACCTGTCAGTATCCTGGGACAAGTACAAAGTGGAGTGGCACCTGGGAAGCCAAGGCCTGAGCTGAGAACAAGCCCTGCTCTATTTGGGACCAGCTTCTGGAAATCTCAGACCTCTGTCCCACTCCTGGTCTAAAGTAGTCCAGAAATGGCTGATAAATGTTGCTTGAATATTCTGCTCAAAACCCCACCCCACTCACTTCTCTCTGAGAGACCCAGGCAGCCCCTGGTTTTGAGAGACAGCCTAGGCCCTTGCATCCCCCTCCCCTACCTACCACTGGGAGCAGAGGCTCCAGGGACCAGGCCAGACCAGGCCAAGGCCCAGAAGATGGACTTCAAAACCTCTGTCTCCCTTCTCTAGATCTATAAAAATGGAACATGAAACAGCTGCCAGCCATCCTAATTTCCAAGTAAGAACCCATGGAAAAGACCCAAGTCATCATTTGTCCTTCCATCTAGACAGTACCTCACAGGCTCAGCAAAACATCTAGGTGTCCTGTCTCTGCCCACCGCCTGCTACCCCGAGAAACACTGAGCCTACAGAACCAATCAGAGCCAGGGACAAGGGGGCTCTCAGACTCCACTTGGAAACAAACACTGGCACAGCTTCCGCAAGAGGAGTCCAAGGCTGACAGATGAGCAGAAACAGAGCAGAGAGCCAGGCTAAGAGGAGACACAGAAACAGAGACCCACACGTACAAGCCCAGACCCAAAAAGACACACACGAACAGAGAGCCCCTCCACTAGGAGACATGGAGACAGAGTCAGCCAAACAAACATAGAGACATCTGGGCACTGAAAAAACAAGGGGGCAGAGTTAAAGCTCTGGTACCATCCGCATACAGGCCTACCCCCAAAGCCTCACCAGCTGTTGTGGCCTCCTGCCCCTCACCTCCCACCTCCTGAGCAGCTCCAGGAACCAAGAGCAGGCGCTGTGGTCCAAGTCGGCCGTGGCCCTGGAGGAGGAGCCCAGCAAGCCCACACTGGCAGGCAGCTGCGGAGCCAGCAGCCCAGGCCAACCGGAGGCTGTGACGCAAGGGCAGGGCAGGGCACGACCACAGTGCCTCCCAAGAGGAGCGGCTCCCCTGGGGCCCCACCTGTTGCCCGCCTAGCTCTGGTGGTAACCCAGGGTGCCAGCTCCAGAGACACACACCCCAGGAACATGAGAAGCAACTGAGTCACCCGCTGGGGACCACTGGGTCCCCACTGAGAGCAAGGGATGGGGGAGGTAAAGACCTGAGGGCTACGGTGCACAAGATGGGTCAGGTTCAAGGTCCTCCAGCTCTTGTAGGTAGGAATGGATATAGGTCCAGACTTCTGAATTAACACCCTGCCATGCCCCTCTAGACAGGCCCTCACCCTAATCTTCCTATTTCTGGAATGCTCCCCAGTCCCTTGTCTGGCTCCTCAGCCCCAAACCCACAGACTGTCTTCCTTCCTGTCCCCTGAGCCTCTCTCCATCTAAAAGCTTTCTGCTTTCGTTTACCACCAACTCCCCAAACTTCACCCCCACAACTTGTTGGTTTGTCATTCATATTCTCAGACTGGGCCCAAAGGCTAGGCAAGCCCTGGCCTGGGGAAGAGGTGCTGGGGCCACAGTGAGGGTAGGTCATGTTCCTCCACAACCAGCTTGGGCTCCAGGGCCTACCCTATCACTCTGACCAAACGCAGAAGCTCTCCCCTCTCACCAACACCCCATGAGGCACAGACTGAATGAACTAAAGGCCCCAGACCCCCAGACCTGAAGCCCAGGTAGAAAGGGCTCTGTAGGAAGCGAACCCTGTCCTCATCCCTGCCTGGCTCTGAGTCAGAGGAGCTGGGAGCACAGGGGATTTCCTCTGCCTTGCTCCTCTTCCTGGTCCTCCATGCTCACCCCCTACCCCAAAGGCACCTCAACCCCGCCCTGCCCCAACCAGTTCCTCGGCAGCCCTGGGGATCAGATAACAGAGGGTGGGGTGAGTGGTGGGTAGGGCCTCCTTAGCAGAAGGGCTTGAATGGGGGCTACAGGTAGGAGACATGACTCAGGAGATGCTGCCTGGAGGCAGAGACGTGTGTCCCAGGTGTCTGGGCAGGGGCGGGTAAGGAATGGGGACTGGGGACAAAGGAGCCCAGGTGGGCAGCCCAGCAGAAAATGGAGGGGAGCCCCAGGAGGCAACAGTGGGGCTCAGTGGGAGGGCAGAGGCTGCCAGGAAGAGGGTGGGGCTGCTTTGGGGTTCTGACAGGTACCCAGCCGGGTAGTCTAGAGTCCCTGTCCTGGGAGGAGGTGGGAAGGGAAGAAAGACAGGATGAGAGGAATGTTCAGGAGTTCCAGAGTCCCTAGTTGTGGCCCCAGGGCCAAGGCTGAGCCACTTCCTTCGCCTCACCATATCGGCAGTTTGTCTCTGACCCACACAGCCAGGGCTGGAGCCGAGTGGGAAAAGGTTTCGTGAAAGGGTGGTGCTAGGCAGGGAAAATCCCTCTTAGCAGCAGCATCTGGTACTTAACCCCAGGCACTCAAGACTGGACCCGGGCCTGTCCTCCCCTTACTGCACAGCTCAGGCTCCCCACAGCCTGTGTTGCCATGGGAACCTTGGAGGCAGAAGAGCTCTCAGCCAGCAGGCCCCTCCACCCTGCACCCTTCAAGGCAGTGTAGGCGCAGCCTCACGCTCCCTACCTTCCCTCGATGACGGTGATGACGTCATTCATCTGGATGTGCAGCTTGTCTGGCTCCTCAAAGTCCTGAAGCGCCCTCATGTCAGTGGGCTGGGCCTGGGGGCGGAGACCCGTCACTGCCCACCCTGGGACTGACCCCTGCTGGGATACCTCAGCCCCCATGGGCGGACCAGCCCTCACCTCCAGCAGGAAGTCCCGCAGGGCCACAAAGGTGGGTCTGTCCTCTGGCTTGTGAGCCCAGCACTGAACCATGACATTGTAGATATCCTGTGGGCAGTCCTCAGGCCGCGGCAGACGTTCCCCCTCCTTGTCAATCTTATGCAGAATCTGGCGGTGGGGTGGTGCAGTTTGAGCACAAGCAGAGCACCCAGCTCTTCACTTCCCACCTTCCCTCCAGCCCATGGAACAACTGGAGCTGTGGGCTGCCATGCCTGCACCCCAAAGAAAAGGTCTGTCTCCAGGAGCCTATCCCTGGGCCTCTGACCCTTATCCCCTGGCTGGGGCCTCTGGATAGGTGGCTATTACAAGGGAAAAGAATGTGAGCAAGCCCCAGTCTGCCCCTCTCCTGACCACTGGAGGCTCTTCTCTTTGCTCAACTATTTGAGAGGTCATGCAGACACCGGGCAAGGGGGACAGGAACTCCAGCAAATAAGAGCTAGTTCCAACAGGGCCAGGTTGGGAACCAGGAATCAAATCAACCCCCACCCATCCTGTAGGGAGCACATCTCCAGCCACTCACCTGACTGCCATTGAGGCCAATCCAGGGCTCCTGGCCATAGGTGAACATCTCCCACAATGTTACCCCAAACATCCAGGTGTCACTGGCATGGGAGAAGGTACGTGTCTTCAGGCTCTCGGGAGCACACCTGGCAGAGGCAGGGGTCAAAAAGAAGGCCCCTCAGAGCACACCCACCCACATCAGCCCAATGGACAGAACATATTCATTCAACAAACGTGTTGTTACCCTGTGTGCCAGGCTCAACAGCAGGTACTGGGACATGTGCAAAGTGAACAGGGACAGGACATGTTGACTATGGGGTGCACAGATGGAGAAAATCATCTATGTTCATGTCTTTATTCACATGAAGCCTGGGGTAGGAAGAGGGTGAAATTCCCAGGTCAGGGAAGCCAGGAGGTCAGAGGCTACAGGAGTTGGTGAGGGGATAAGATCTCAGGCTGTTTTCTAATTGTGGTGGGAGGATGACAATTTCCGGATTTGGGGCAGGATCCTGGGATTTGGGTCATTTCAGCAGGAAGGTGTGGGTGGGAAATTTGGATAGGGTCTGGGGAAGAACCAAAACGGGTGGAAATAGTTACACTCACTTCACCCAAACATCACACACTCCCTCTGGGACTCCCTTTTAGGTGAGGAAGAGAAATGTCACTGCAGTGAGGCCAGCAAAGGGGTATTCCGGGGTGGGGTGAGGTACAGAGCGACGGGGAAGCTGACCGAATGGAGTATCAAAGACTCTCTCCCGGGACTGGAGAGCTGGCCCTGCCACTCAAAGGGGGTGGGACCCAGGGACAGTCACTCAAGATCTCTAAAGCCTCACGGTCCTCATCTGTGAAATGCGAGTAACAATAATCTGCTTATTTCACAGTGCTATGATAAGGGGACCTTATAATTTACTATCCAAACCAGGATGCTTGGGTGTGAAGGGGGTGCTACTAATTACTCCAGAACAACAGGCATAACGTAATCTGAAATGTATGGTCACTCTACATATAAAATCAGTTATTAGTTAGGGTGACCATGCATCCTGAGTGAGAAGGGTGCTCTGGCAAGAACTAGATCTACTCCTCCTGCCCCAAAACAAGGAGACTACACTCCTCTGGGTGCCTCCAAAGCCAGTGGACCACGATGGTGTCAGCACAGGATGAGTTCACACAGGAGCTAGGGTAGGGCCAGGTAGCACCTCAGTGTGCAGGTAAACATCCCTGGTCAGTCTACAAGGCCCAGTATGGTCTGGCCCTGCCTGCAGCTAGCTCTACCTGAAACATACTTGCCAACCAGTCTGCCTGGCGAACTTCTGGTATTTCAGAAGCTTAATACGGAGTCCTATAGGATGCCTTTTTGAACTCCCGCAGCACTTATCCCCGTGCACCACAGTACCTGGTACATGGGCCCAGAGAATTCCTGGATGAATGAGTGAATGGACTGCGGACAAGAAGGGCATCCCAGACCCAGAGAAGACAAAGGCTGTTGTGGTTACAGAAGGCCTGGACACTCTGAGGCCCAAGAGGGGTAGGACGGGGTCCAGGCCCTGTGAGCTGGCAGCACCTGTCCCTCACCAGGCAAAGGGCACCTTGCGATGCTCTTGCATGACATAGTGGTCGTCATTCTGGGGTAGTGCACGCATCAACCCGAAGTCCCCAATCTTGACCAGGTCACGGGTGGCCAACAGCAGATTTCGGGCAGCCAGGTCACGGTGAATAAAGCGCTTGGACTCTAGGTAGCCCATGCCCTCAGCCACCTGCACGGCGTAGCGGCTCAGAGTTCCCAGGAGGAAGTGGCCCTGGTGCTTGCGCAGCCGGTCCAACAACGATCCCAGCGGCGCCAGCTCTGTCACCTGAGGCCACGGAGGAGGCAGGAGGAATAAGCGTGGCTGAGCCCTGCCCCTCCCTCAGTGCCCCAAGCTGGATGCTCCTTCCTGGCCTGCCCTCGGGGGACCTCTGAGAGTTCTACAGCTTCCCAAGCCTCTCCCTCCAGGTAACGTGGGAACCTGAGGCCCGAGAGAAGCAACCCACAGAGGCTCAGATTAGAATTTCTAAAAACGAAACTCTAAAAAAAATAATAATAATAAAAATAAAAAATAAAAAATAAACCCTAGGGCCAGTCCCTCCTGTGAGTGCGACTCTCTGTCAATGAGCACAAACAAAATCCAAAGACAGACATGGGCTCCAGCGGACACAGTACCAGGCTGGGCCCCCTAGGAGCCAGTCTGCCATATCAGGTGGGGGACCAAAGCATCTTTGTCAGGATGGAGGGAGTAACCACCACACAGGCAGGAGGAGGGGCAGATCTGGGGGGCCCAGAGACCCTGCTTGAGCACCTTGCCCTCTGCCCACAGCACTCACCATCTTCATGGGCGGCGTGAGCACCACACCATAAAGACGAATGAGGTTTCGATGGTCCAGGGAATGCATGGCATTAACCTCCCGGATAAAGTCATCCATGGCCTCTGGCTGGCTTAGCACATCAGGCTTCAGGCACTTCACAGCCACACTCACCTGCCCAGAGTGGGGAGCAGAAGTCAGGACAGGTCCCAGGCCCCAACACTCTGAGCCAAACTGTCCCTCCCTCCAACTCAGCCCAAATATCCCTGCCTCAGATCTGCTCATCTGGATGAATGAGCATGTATGTCACAGGTGTCTGTGGGTTGGCTGGGAGAGGGCAGCCCTTCCTTGGGCCTCTCCTTCCTGGGGGAACGTCCAGATTAAACAGCAACCATAAAATAAGAGATGATCAGTATGATGACAGAATATTAAAATCTTGTAATAAGATGGAATATTAAAATATTTTTGGTGTGGAAGGAAAATGCTGTAAATATAATGACAAGAAACTAATCTATAGTGACAGAAATCAGAATAGTGCTTCCCTTGGATAAAGAGGATACTCAGTAGAAGAGGCAGGAGGGAGCCTTCTGGGTGCTGGAACTGCTCTTAATCATGATCTGGGCAGTGGTCACATAGGTCCGTGCATATGCAAAAATTCACTAAGCTGTCCACTCAAGAACTATGTGCTTTATTGTATACATGCTACCTATCTTTCTGGGGAAAATGTTTAGAATACCAAGATGAAAAGGCAAGGTTTTAAAAGTTGCATTCAAAATTTGTATCTTCACCAAATTCACCAAAATACCTGGGGTGAAAAAAAGCAGAAATGCTAACTCTGCTTCCCCTGAGTGAGGGGATTACAAACAATTGTTTTTTCTTATTTTTTAAAAAGTTTTCAAACTTTTACAGTAAGTAAATTATTTTCATAATTGAAAAAAGAAACAGAGGTGTCTAATTAAACCTGAGCATGTAGTCCAGAGGAAGCCCCTTTCTGATCTGTGCCCAGCCACACACACCACCATCCCAGCAGAGGGGAAAGATCTGCCTCAGAGGGTAGAGTCGGGGAAGGCCAGGGTGGAGGGAGAGTGGGGATGGACTCTGCCAGAGTCTCTTAGAGGCCTGTCCCTCTGGCACGCCCCACATGACCCAGAAAGCTTACCGTCTTCCCCGAGGGGGCGTCCCACTCGCCCCTGCGCACCACGCCAAAGGAGCCATCTCCTAGCTTCTCGAAGAGATGCAGGTCCTTCTCCCCAATGAGGCACGTGAGGCTCTGCAAGGGCCCCTCCCCTGCTGGGCCCCCTGGAGTGGGCGAGGTCTTCCGGAAGGTGCTCTGAGAGTGATGAGGAGGGAACTCAGCCTCCAGTCGCTTTCCACTGAACACCTGTTTGAAGGCAGCCAGGGGCCAGATGGAACTCTGAGGTCCCAGAGCCAGTCACTCAGTCCGGCCCACAGGATCCTCGGCTAGGCCTCGAGAGAGGTCCTGGCTTTGCCAAACTGCCAGGGGGCAGCCTGGCTGGAGGCCCACCCACCCCCACCTCCAGATCACACCCTCAAACAGGAACCCACAGTTTCAGTGTGGCCTCAGAGTATGTGCCAGAAATGGACTGACAGGCATGTAGCTCATGACTGCCATAGCCCCACACCCAGCTGTAGGGTCAGGGACAGCCTAAAGCCACTCCAGACCCATCTTGTGCACCACCTGTCCCTCCCTATCCCCCTACCCAGCACAGACTCGGGCCCCTAACCAGAGCAGATGGGCAGGAGCCTGAGGGGCCCTCCACAAACACCTCCCTGTCCATTTTTAGCCTTGGCCCCTTCTCTGGGTTGCCCATTTGGCGCTGTCTGTCTCCACCCTCCCTGGGGAGCTGACTGCCCTTCATCCTGCCAGGGGAGAGGATAATTTGAGCCTGAGGTTGGACCGTGAATGTGTGCGGGGTGGGGGTGGGGGGGTATGTGCAGATGAAGCAAGGTCTTGCTGGGGAAAGGCCTGGGAAGACAGCTGGGCTTCTGGAGGAGCTAGAGCTGAGAGCTGGGAAACGAAGACTGGAGGTGACTCTGTGACCTGGGATGTGGAGGGAAGGGGTCAAAGGTCAAGGGACAGGAGGAAGGAGACCCTGAGTAGCACAGTTGGCCCCATTAGTCTGACTGGGGCTTCCAAAGCCTTGGCCTCAGGCTGCAGACTCTGTCCAGTTGGGCCCCTGCCCCTCAAAGGCTGGCAGAACCTTGTCCGTATGGGGTAGGCGCGTTTCCAATCTGAGAGCCTCTTCTAGCCACTGCTCCGTCCTTCATCCTAGTAACTGAAATCTCTTATGTTTGTAAGCAGTGTTCAGCTAACAAGGCCCTTCACAGCCTTTATCTCCAGGGACCTTTTCCGCCGCCCCGTGAGGGGAGCTGGGCACAAGTGCCACCACCACGGTTTTACTGAAGACATGCCTCAAGTCTGGAGAGGTTCGCTGACTGACCTGAAGACCTCCTGCATGGTAGTCCAAGATCCCCAAACCCTGGCACACCGCACAGCTCCTCCCTCCTACCTTCACCCGCCCGACAAACTCATCCTTCCCTAAAACCTGGGCAAGGGACCAGGACAGTGTCCCCAGAAAAGGCCACAGGCTCCCAAGAGACAGCCCCTTTGCCAGATCGCAGCCAGGAAATCTCTGCTGCCCAATCCTAGTCCAGCTGTTCTGCCCTGCCCACCCCCCATCCCAGCCCTGAGGCCACAAGTGGGGAGGGAAGGCCCCTGGCTGGTTCACTTCCTCTCGCATTGTCTTCCAGACAATGGGCAAAGTTCCACTGAGTCAGACCAGGGACTCACTACTCCACAGACCCAAATTAGGGCAAAGGGAAAGGGGGGCAGATTGTGGGGAAGGAAGTGGTCAGCAGGGCCAGATGACCAGAGAAACCCTCTGCAGACTAGGGAGGGCAGGGGGCGGGGGAGGGAAGCAAGGCAAAGATGTGCTAGGTCCAGACAGTCCCCACCACTCTGTCCCCACACTCAGACTGAGCAAGGGCTCAAGTTACGGCGCACTTGTCAACGGGTGCCTGCTCCACACCCAGCGCCACTGCACAGCGGGAGGGGAGGTAAAGCCATCGCCGCACACAGGCTACTCACGTGCCATCTCTGGTGGAGACAGACACTTAGCTGAGTGGTCCTACAAGTACCCTGCCCGGTAAGACCTTGGAGGAGGGAGGTCTGTACAAAATACAAGATCATACCTGCCTGGGAATGGGGGAGTTTCCTAGGACTAACATCAGAGCTGGGCCTGCAAGGCTACCCACCCCATCTTGTTCCTCATTCACGCACCTTGCTCATCCAAGACTTGCGTTTGCACATGGCCTTTCTCCTCTTCACAGCCTCCCACAATCGCCGCTGTCCTGCAGAGAAAAAAGGGGAATCAAATGCTGTTAAGGTAGTTCACAGCCCCCAGGGCCCCCACTTGCATGCTTCCTTGGTCCCCCTGGGGTGGGCCCACCACTAGATAGTGCCCAGCACAATGACACCAAGGAAACAGACCATTCTAACCAACCAGGGGCCATAGTTAGCCAGATGGTCACAGCATTCCACTTCTAGGCAGTGGTTCTCAAACTAGATGGAGGTGTTTAACCACCAAAATTGAACAGCAGTGGTCTTTTTCCAACCCTCAAGGGGGAAAAAAAGGCAATGTGTAGGATTTACCCAATTTTGTGTTTTTCTCCCATAAAATTTTATTGTTACTAGCATCAGATACCAACTATCCAATCCCAAAGTAGTCTATGTCAGTGTCTAATTTAGCACATTATTACTTATTCAGCTATTTTAAGTTGAATATACTAATAAGTTTCTAATGCTCTACAAGGAATACCATGGCTTCTAGATGCTATGATCACTACTTTTAGGATAAAAACTTATAGAGCATATTTTTGTGCATGGGAAAGAGACAGAATGAGTTCAATTTAAAGCAGATCTTTGCGAGGGAGAGAGAAAAAGAGACAGATTAAGAGAAAATTTGCAAATCATCTGAGGGTTTTTAATCTTCTCTTCTCCATACAGATCTCTGGACATTGACCCCTCTGATGTTCAGAATGGTGAACAGAGCAGACTCAATGCCATGTTTATAAAGGAGGAGGAGATGGAGGAAATACATCCTACAAACGTCTGAACAAACCAAAAGCAGTATTTTTTCAATCCTGAGAATCCAGAGCTTTAAGTATGACTTCATTCTCCTCACACTCCAGTTTACCTTTACAACTGCTAACTGTTCTCATGCACTCACTGCGTGCAGCATCTACTGATGCAGCGAGAGTTCTCAGCTATGCCACCCCATGGAATAAGGAGGAGGGCTCTTCCAACTGGCAATCCTGAGGATAGAGGAGGTAAACGGTCAGTGGGGAAGCAACAAGCAAGGCCAATATCCCCACCTACCAGGCCGGCCCATGCCAATCTTCTCCAGGTCCTCATTCTTGACATACTCAAAATGGGACAGGCGGGTAACATTGAGGTCATCGCGGAGCCGCAGGAAGTACTGTTGTAGCTGCACCTCGGACAGCAGCTCCAGCAGCCAGCCCGTGCCCTCCTCGGGCTGCATGCTGCTGCTCCCCAGCCTCTGTGGGGAGGGAAGAATGGCTCAGGGACCAAGGGGTACAGGGAGGTGGCAGGGGACCCTGTCCTGAGTGTCCTAGGCTCACCCACATTCTACTAAACTGCTTCAAGGGAAGGACTCAAACCATGTTCTTGCTCCCCAAAACAAGTGTACAGAATGGCCTATACTCCTGTGCCCCTCTTCCTGCCAGCAACAAGGGTAGAATTAGGGCAACTGGAATACAGCCCAGGCCCTGGAGTCAGGGTCTTAAGCCCAAACTCTGTGATCTGTGGCTGAGTGATATGAGATCAACCTCTCTGCTTTCAGAGAGTCACAAGCCCTTTGAGAACAATGAAAACTATCGATTATGTTTCCAAGAAAACATACGCATTCTTACTCATGAAGTTTCCATTAAGAAATTGGGGGGTGGGGCACCTGACTAGCTCAATCAGTCGAACATGCAACTCTTGATCTCAGGGTTTTGTATTGTAGAGATTACTTAAAAAATATTTTTAAAATATTTTAAAAAACAATTGGTGGGGGAGGGGTGCCTCCCCTCAGTCGATTAAGCATCCGACTTCAGCTAGGTCATGATCTCGCGGTTCATGAGTTCAAGCCCTATGTCTGGCTCTGTGCAGACAGCTCAGAGCCTGGAGCCTGCTTCGGATTTTGTGTCTCCCTCTCTCTGCCCCTCCCCCATCACACATTGTCTCTCTCTCTCTCAAAAATAAATAAACATTAAAAAAATAGAAAAAAAAAAAACAATTGGAGGGGGGGCGCAGGGTCCCTTGAGACCTATCCATAGGCTCCTTGGACCTGGTGGACCCCAGGGAAAGAAAGCACTGTGGACTAGATGAGCTCTAGCTAAGTTTCACCCAATGCCTGACACCACCAGAGGCTGTCCCCTCACCATCCCACAGACCACTCAAGTGCCCTTAGAACCACAGTGAGTGGAAGACAAGAGGCAGGCAAAGGCTGGCTGGGGTCAGCTTTCAGATGCCAGCTCAAAGAGGCAGCCCTGCTTAGCTCCATCAACAGTTGTCACCATAGACTACTGCCCAATGTCATCAAAGCTTTTAATTTTTTCAAGAAATACTGGAAATCTGAATCTATATGTGAAATCTGACCACTAAAATTCTTTTTGAAAAGGTAATATATGCACATGGTAAGATATTCAAAAAGCACACAGGAGCCATAAAGTCTCATGCCCTGCCATACTGCACAGCCACCTAGCCCCCTGTCCCCAAAACCAGCTGCCATAAATGACTTTTACACATCCTTCCAGACTTTGTTTCGCCCCCCCACACACACATTTACCCATTACCCACACCATTCTGTTCCTTGTTTTCACTTAACATTACATCTTTCTCTTGACTTATTAATTATATCGACTAATTCAAGTTTGAAATACACACACACACACACACACACACACACACACACACACATGCTGTGCAAGCCAAGCAAAACATATGTGCAGGCTATAATCAGCCAATAGGCCACCAGTGAGTGACCTCTGACCTACACTCTGTGCGGTCCAGAGAAAGAGGACAGGGCACCCATAACACAAAGCAGCCTGGCCCACCGGACACCAAGCCCATCCTTGTCCAAGTAAGACCCAACAGAGCTGAGAGCTTGTCCAGGCCGGCCCCTGACTTGTGTTCAATCCCCACGGAGGAAAACCCACAAGAAGGAAAAGGCCAGCTGCCCCTCGACACCCCACAAGTCAGAGGTGGCCTTGGCCTCCAGCTCTCAACACAGGCTCACCAAGAGAAGCCGGCGCTTGCAGCCCAGGCGGAGCATGAGCCTCCTGCCCCCACAGTTCCCAGCGGTGTTGCCAGCCTAGCAGCAGGACATCAGAGCTTCCCAGGCAGCTCAGGGCAACGCAAAGAGTGACAAAGGGGAATGAGAAGCCCTCAGTTCAAACCCTGGCTCTTCCACCAAGGCAGCTGGGCCAGAGGGGGGGTTTTTAAACTTCAAGCTGTGACCCTTTACCTAGATGGTTCCCATGAGGTCTGTGCAGCCTCCTAGGGGACATTCTTGGATGTTGGGGGGCCACTAGTGGCATTTAGTGGGTGACTGGGGGACAAGAATGTAAGTTATCCTGTAATGTGCAGGGGAGTCTCACACATTGTCCCAAATCCCACACAACTTAATTCGTGCGGGTGAAAAACTGGTTTATAAACATCTGAACCTAGAATCGAATTCCATCTTAACATGAGCAAAAATGTATTTTTTGGTTTTTAATACACACTGAATCTTCCTAGAACAGAACTATGGTGTAAAATGAGGGAACACTGACCTTTGCTTTGTTCAGAACTTAGCAAAAGTTTTTCACTAATCAGAAAAATGTCACTGAAGGCAACCCGCCCTTATTATTTCCAAACCCCACTCTCGGTCAGCACTTGTAGACGCTGCCTCCACGGTGGTCCTCCTAGAGGTGTTAGCACTGACTACCTCATCACGTCAGAGTGTACAGACATACCAGAATACATGAAATGCTATCATCACTTTCCTTTTATTTCTCCTTTATACTACAGGTGACATCGTGTTGACTGACTACACACACACAGTAAAAAAGTTATATTTTTATTATTTTTATTTAAGAAGAACTATAAAAATAACTCTAACATTTCAACTACACTTATTATATGCCAGGCACGGTTCTAAGCGTTTAGCTGTATTAACTCACTTATCCTCAACAAAACCATTTGTTACACACAAGGGAGTGCATGGACGTTAAGAGGGCAGGGCACTGCTGCTTTCCAGAAGAAGGCCCCAAAGGTGCACTGTGAAAATCACTGACCTAGGCCGTGTCTCTCCGCAGCCTGGCCAGGCAGGGCCAGCCAGCACTTCCACCATCACTACCCTGTCCCTGGAGCAAAGCAATTGCACCCACTACATGCCCCACGATGTGGCCTGCCAGCAGGGCAAGCAGTTTGAAGTCTCCCTCCTCTTCTTGCCCAGTCTCCAAGTCTCAGGGTTCTAGACTCCCCACTCCCACCCTCCTCTGGGGGCAACTGCTCAAAGCCATGCCCTGGGTGGTCAGGACTTGGGGAGACACACAGCCCTTCCCCTGAAGCTGTGCAGAAAGCACAGTCTGGCATGTTCCTTTTCCCTGAGACACCAGCTAACAGATCTCCCTGCTCAGCTGGACACTCCCCTCCCTGCTCACCAGCCCCAGGGACAGGGTTGCTCTGAGTAGGGGTGTGTGGGGGACAGGGAAGAACACTGGGATCCCAGTGAGAAGAAAGCCATCAGGGTCTTAGTTCTGTCTCTACCACCAGGGTGACCCTGGATAAGCCCCTTCCCCTTCGCTAAGTGCCCCTTCCCTGCCAAGTTTCTTTGTCTCTGAAGCTTTCCCCCCCACCCTGCTCACAGTCTTCAGCTGTGCGTGTGCCTGGCCCCCAGCACACCCACAGTCCCACACCTGTGTCTGACGTGTGGCGTGGCACTCTCCAGACACGCACATTTCCCACATACACTTTGCTAACATGCTCACCAACCAGAATGCAGCAGCTGAGGGGAGAGGCCCTGGTCTCAGAACCCCTATCAAGCCCTCAGCCATTCCTGGTCCTGTCCTCTGCTCCTCAGTGAAGTGCTGGCTCTGAGGGGCTGACCCAGTCCCCAGTCAGTCCTACCCACATCCCCAGCCCCCACTCACTGTGTACAGGCGTCGCCGTAGTCTGGCCAGGAGAGGGAAAGAAAGCTCCAGGCCAGGGAACCGACGGGCTGCTGGCATCTCCACGGAGCTGGACCCCCTGACTGGGACCCTGGCCCAAGATATGAGGGAGCAGAGCCTTTAGCTCCTGAATTTAAGGTTCTGCCCAGAAGGGAAGTTGGCCAAAGACCTGCTCCAGGAGTCCCCCAAATCCCACAACAGGAGTGGGAAATGGGACAGAAGAAGAGGGTGGGCTCCTTTTCTTTGCTGCACAGCTGTTTCCACAGCTGGCTAGTCTGGCAGGAGGTGAGCTCTTCTCTGGGCTGGCTGCAGCCTGGGTCCTCTGTCCTGTTTCTCTGACTTCTCTTCAGTGCAGTGGTCACAGCTCAGCCCTACTCCCTGGCTCCCCCGCCTGACTGCCCTCCCTCCCTTGTCCCTCCCTCCCCGGCTGAGCAGCTCTGACACTGGCTGAAAAAGGACCTTTCTGAATCACTGCCAAAAGGGTGGCGGGAATGAGGGGACTCTTCCTCCCAGCCACCCGCGCTGGCCCCCCTGCCTCCCCATACACAAGGCCCCCTGTCTTTGGCTTCCACCCCAGCCCCCATAGCTGCAGACAACTCTTGGGATTTTAGGGTGGGGGCTATGTGAATCAAGCAGCAACGTACAAAGAGGGGCTACAGGCTCCTACATGGGCTTGTCTGGGGCTGTGGGGGCTAGAACACAGCCTGAGTTGAGGTCCTGGACCCCAGACAGACATTCCTGGGCCCTGCAGGCAGACCCTTCAGAGACCCTCCCCCATCTCCCAGTCCCAGTCTTGGCTGGGCGTCTCCTGGCTCAGGCCCTAATGTGGCCCTGTTACCCTGGTGCCCGACGGAAATAGGAGGCCGGCAGCCTGCCAGAGTGGGGCAGTCCAGCCAAGAGCGAGGGGGGTTGTGGGGGTGAGGAATCTCCACCCCCTCCCCTGGGGTTGCCTTGCACTGCCCACAACATCCAGGGTGCCTCCTCCCCCAGACCAGCTAGCTAAGGTCCAAAGCCCCTCTAAACAAACAAATATGCCCCTAGACCCTGCTGGGATGTCCTCACTCCAAAGCAATAGGATTCTAGGCTATAGGATGTTTCTTGTATAGCACCCCCAAACACAGGCAACAGCCTCAGCTAAAAAGAACTGGAGAAACTCCACCAAGCCCCCATTGGCCCCCCATGTTCCTACAGCTGACAAATGATCCCTCTGCCCCTCCTCAAGAGTACCAGCTGCTCCTACACCCCCCTCACTACAGCCCCCAGACACACCTGACAGCTGCAGGAAGTCCTCGCAGGCTCCCTCAGCAACCCCTCCCCCCAACAGCAGCCATGTCCAGAGAGCCCGTTTCTTGTACACTGTTCTCTTGTCCCTATCCAGCTGGCTACTAGCTCTGGGAACCCCAGCTGGATGGTGGGGCAGACAGCTGGGTGAGAGTTTTGGGGAGTTAGCATCTTAGGCTCTCTTTCCAGGGCCTCGCTTAGTGCCCAGCCTTCTTAGCAGGGAGGTTACCTGTAAGGTCAGCCATTTCCTGGTCCAACCCCGTGGAGGGGTAGGGGGCGTGGCTGTTGGGGGACATGCCAGCTCTCAAGCTCTCAGTCCCTCCTCCTCATCCCTGTGTCATCTACCACACAAAGCTCGTGGATCCAGCCAGGTATAGCCTCCCCTTGGTCCAGTGAATCACCAGTCTGAGGCTGGGGTCAGAGCTAATAGACAAGATAAGGCCGGGCTGAGATCACACTGGAAATGACTTTTCCCAAAACCCTGGCAGACAATGCCCTTGGCTCAGAGAAGCCTACTGCCTACTTCCCACCAGGCACCACCCTGAAGGAGCCCCAGGGACCTGACTTTAGGGGACAATTTAAGCAAAATTACTCCCTCTACTGCAAAAGGGGGGCTGCTGGATCAGAATGGCCAGATTAAAGAGTCTAGCCACCCCCAAAAGATGTGTCCCAAATCATTCAGAACCCCATGCCTGACTCTTCCCTTAGACCTTGGGTAAGAACAAGCCTCAGCAACTTGGTCAGCAATCCAGCTGCAAAAGGCTGTGAGGAAAAGCAAAGCCTGGTCAGAGCTCAGGCCACTTCTTGGACCCTTCTCTCAGACCCGGAAAACCACCTCCACCTTTTCTGTCCCCCTTAGTCCTGTCAGCTATCGCCCTCTGCCGACCAAGAGAGAAAGTGCTTGATCTCCAAGCAGAAGGGAAGCAGCCCCACGAATAACGATCATATTTCCTAAAGCAAATAAGGGCATTTCGCTTGATATGCATATTCAAAAGTAAGCAGGAATGTCCAGGGAACAAGGACTCGGTGCCCATAAAAGACTACACCCAAAGCCTGGCACTGCTTCTGGTGCTCCCACCGGGTGTTGAAGAAAGCCCAAAAGGCAGTTTAACTGGGTCTCAGAGAAACCGGAGACACTGAGGCAGGTGGCAGCATCAGTAATTTCCCACCACTGACTTGCCCCTCACCCACCACATACACACACAAACACCTCATTACCCAGCCTCTCAGCCCCCAGGATCTGTCCTGGGGCCCTGAAGCACAGACACCCCTCACTCCTGAGAGGCTGCTGCGGAGCAGGGCTGGGCCCTCAGCTCATTGGCAGATGATGGGGTCTAGGACCCAGCTACCTGGCTATCCCCCAGGCCTCTCCCATTACCTGCTGTCCCTCCTCACCCCCAGCCAGGCGCTGATATGCAGATCTCTCCCCCATGGCACCCAAACTCCCGGGCGTTAGAGCCAGGGAGGAGAGCAGAGCCCTCCCGCAGCCCCCGCCCCTCCAGCGGCACCGGCAGCGGCAGCGTCACTGCCCTGCGTCCCGAGGGGCCGGGCCTCCAGCATCCTCCAGAAGGAGGGCAGGGGCTGCTTGAGCGCCTCAACCGAGAAGGCCGGTCCGTACCCCACAGCATACCCACCCACAGCCTCATATCCACCGCTGGTTGGCCAGTGCCGGAGCCGAGCCCGGATGGTTGGATGGTCGCCGTCACCTATGCCGGGCCTGTGACCGGCCCCTCCCCCAATCGCTTCCCCAGCCTCCATTCCAAGGAGCCGCCGCCTCTCGCCTCTCCGCAGCACCACCTGCTGACCCCCGGAGACATCCAGGTGCCTCGACCCCACCTCCACTGACCGCAGGGCCACAGCTCCCCTCAGCTCCTTGGCTACCTCCAGATCCCTGAGCTCCACTGCCACCAATTAGGTCCTGGGGAATCAAGACCTCCCACATAAGGAGGTCCACCCAAGAGGCTCACAGGAAAGGAGCCCCATCCTGACTCGGCCTGAGACCCCCCCTCCGTTCACTGGGGCCTGAAGCCTATCCCCCCAATCCGCCCGGCTTCCACCAAGCTCCAAGCATGCGCCCACCTGCCGGACTCCCTGCCGCTCCACTCCGCACTCCACTGCACTCCACTCGCTCAGCGCCCCGAGAACCTGCCCAGTCGTAGAAGCCACGCCTCCGGCACCAGGAGGGAGACCACAGCCCGCCCCTGCCCCACGCCTCTTCCCAGCCCGGCCTTGACATCTCCCTAGCCTCCCCCAAGACTGCACAGGCTGTGCGCAGGGGAGCTCAGGGCAGGGCACAGTGCTGGGGCTGACCTCTGGCCTCAGTAGAGTGCCTCGAGTGCCCACACTCCCCGCCGTAGGAGCTGCTCCAACACGTGCCCACGCCGGGCTCTGCCACCCAGCACTGGGGCGAGGCCATTGCCTAGTGATCAGGAAGTCCTACTGCAGAGGCTCCTCCTCTCCCTCCCGCCCGCCCTGAGGGCCTCAAGGCGCCCCACGCACACCCTTTCATTGTGCTGGCATCTGAAGCATCCACTGACTCCTTAGTACCAGGTATTTAGGGCTGAGCTCAGGGCACCCTCCACTTCCGGGAGGGTTGGGGCAGAGGAGGAGGGAGATGCTGAGACACCTGCCCTCCCATCAACCAACTCAACCTTGAGGCTAAGGAAAGGGACCCCAGGAGGATACTGGGTGAGTTCCTATAAGGCTCAATCTCCTCACAAGTTCCTTCACCTTGAAGCATGCTGAGGTAGGGGATGACCCTGCCAGGCAGGAGATCTAATCCAGGCAGAAGTCCCTGGGTATCTTACAGCAGCTATAGCAGTTTTGTGGGAAGCTGCAAGAACCCAGCCAAAGTCAGGAAGCTGTCCTGACCCAAAGTCAGAGAAAAAGAGCATGAAAATGCCAGGCCCATCCATTCTTCCCTTCACTGGATGAATGGTATGATCCAAATTATTCCTCCTTCCTGCTTTCTCCCTATCTCCTCCCCACCCCCCCCCCACCCCCATTACCCTCCCTTCCTAATGCCATCCTGCCAAGATTCCCACAGGATCCAAACTACCTTTAGGACTTGGGGGATCTACCCTACATGTATACCCCTGTAGTCTACAACTTGCCCCCATATCTCTAAAGAGAGATGGGAGTGGCCAGGAACCAGCTTGCCTCTGCTGTCCACTCCCCTCCCCCAGCCTCTCCAGCAGCATCAGTGAAGTGACAAATCCACACTGAGGAGCAGACATGACATGTAATTTCCGGCCAAGAGATTTTTCCAAAACAATCTACCGTATTCTTGGGAATATATGCCAACCTCACCTCCAAGCCAGCCCTCTCCACCCCTGCCCTCCCTCTTCTCTAAGCTCTAGAGGGAAAACAACATATTGGGAGGAAGGGGCGGGGGGGCTTATAGTTCCTCTCCCAGCCAGAGGATTATCTTGCCTCCACATGCCAGCCCCACAAAGCCCAGTCAACTTCAACTCACCCCTCCATACACAGGCCCCAAACTTCTGGACCAAGGCCAGGCTGGCTCCCCTTGGGACCTCATCCCAGAGGGAACTGCACCAAGCAACCCCACACCTTCAGGTCAGCCCAGTTCTGACATCACACAGATCTGGGGAGGAGGCTGGTCTGGGGCCAATGGAGAGAGGGGGTGATTCAGACACACACCATGGCTGTCCACACCCTCTCCATCTCCAGGACACAGGGGCCCCCTCCCTCCCAGGAGAGCTTGGCAGCTGTGGTTCTGAGGAGAGGCAAAGCTGAGGCATATTTGCTAGTGGTGCTGGGCCCATAGGCCCCAAGTCTAGCCCTGGAGCCTCTTTCCCATCCTCCTTAACTATTGATATTTCCCCACGACTTCTGAACTCACCCTTCCTTCTCTTCTCAGTGGACGCTCTGCTCCCTGGGGGGTCACTTCCTCTCCCTCCCCTGCCCCAGGGCTCCAATTACCATGTGCTGTCTGTCTTTATTTCTGACCACCTGAAGCTCTAGGCCCACATTTACAGACATTTACAGGACAGCTCCACCAGGAGGATGCACAAGTACCACAAATTCTGTATAACCATACTGAGCTCATCATCACCCCCTTCAACTTAGCTAAGGCATGCTCCTATATCCCAACTGAAAATATCACAAGCCAATGCCAGCCACTCAGGCTAGAAACCTCACCCCTGGCCCCCCTGCAACTATAACTTCCTACCTTCCCCACTGGGCAGGACACAAAATCTTGTTTCTGCCTCCTCATTAGTCCTCCCAATCAATACCATTAGGATCAAGAGTCAGACAGACCAGATCTGAAATCTTGGCTCTGTCACTTTGTACTTGAGCAACTTTGGGGCAAATACCTTAACCTCTAAGACTCAATTTCCTCTCCTGTAAAATGGGAAGAAATAGCAGCACCTCCTTCACAGAGTGCAGATTCAATGAGATAATGAACAGCACACTTAGCACAGCACCTGGCACACAGCTGCCTATTGCTATTATTGTCATCTGAAGTCCCTCCCCTGCTTATATCCTTCTGTAACTCCTCATTGAGCCAAATACAAGGCCCTTCAAGATCCTCCCCTTGCCTATTTGTCCACCTCCATACCTCATCATTTTCTTCAAATGTCCATATTCCAGCCAAATTAAATACTTGCCCTTCCCTACACACACTCCCTTCTTTAATTTTTTTTTTTAATGTTTTTGAGAGAGACAGAGAGAGACACAGAGACAGTGGGGGAGGGGGCAGAGAGAAAGGGAGACACAGAATCCCAAACAGGCTCCAGGCTCTGAGCTGTCAGCACAGAGCCCAATGCAGGGCTTGAACCCACAGACCCTGAGATCATGACCCTGAGCCGAAGCTGGACGCTTAACCGATGAGCCATCCAGGCGCCCCACTCCCTTCTTGAATCTTAATGTTTCAGGGTGCCTGGGTGGCTCAGTCAATTAAGTATCTGACTCTTGATTTCAGCTCAAGTCATGATCTCAGTTCGTGAGTTAGAGCCTCATATTGGGCTCTGTGCTGACAGTGTGGACCCTGCTTGGGATTCTCTCTTTCTCCCTCTCTCTGCCCCTTTCCCACTTGCTCTTTCTTTCTTTCTCTCTCTCTCAAAAATCAAGAAAGAAAACTTTAGAAAAAAAAAAACATTTCTCATTAAAAAATTTTTAATGTCTCTGAGCTATTCTCTTTGTGACAGTCCTTCTCTTTGTCTACATGATGAATTCCAACACATCCCCCAAGACCCATGTCATCTCCTCTGTAAATTGCCATTTCCTACCTCTAAATGGTTATTTTTGCCATGCTTCCCATGTTATTCCGTTAAAATAATATTTGAAAACAGGAATGGTATAAACACACAATACAGTTAACTCTTGAACAACATGGGTTTGAATCGTGCAGGTCCACTAATGTGTGAATTTTTTCAATACGGTACAGTACAATGTATTTTCGCTTATGATTTTCTTAATAACAACATTTTCTTTTCTCCAGTTTACTTTGTTCTAAGAATATAGTACGTAATACATATAAAATGTAAAATATGTGCTGTTTATGTTATTGGTTAAGTTTTCCACTCAACCGTGGGCTGTCAGTAGTTCAGTTTTTGGGGAGTCAAAAGTTATATGCAGATTTTAGACTGTGTGAGAGGTCAGCACTCCTAGCCCCCACGTGTTCAACAGTCAACTATAGTGTAGTACATGTGGAAAATAGCCAACATCAATGTATAATTTTCAAATTATCCATCACACTCTGATCCTTAAAGGCTCACTGTTCTTATAGCATTCTGTATCAATATATAATTCTACTGAGAGATTCTATGTACACACCTCTACTGTAGTTTGTACCCTGTAAAGTAACCAGCTGTTTTTCTCTATCAACTTGAAGGCAGAAGCTGGCAAGGTATCTGGTCAAGAAGAGTTTCCTGAAAGAGACTTCAAACCCATAAGATGGACACTGGAGAAAGGGGGCCTGCTTTACTTCCAGAGGGTATTAGAAATAAGCCTCATTCCCCCACCCCACCCCCACCCAGGCTTTGCTCCCTCCCAGTATTTCTAATCCAGAAAAGCAAGCACCTTCATAGAAAGAGGGGCTGCCAATCTCATTATAGCCACTCCAGTCCCAGTAAGCTACTTTGCTCCCACAAAGCCATTTCAGCACCAGGGATGACAAGGCCAGTCAGTTGCTTATGCAGAGGGAGGGCCAGGAATCGGCCTTCTGCAGAAGGCTGCATTCTCACTAGACTGCAGGGACAGCTGGGGTAGGCGATACAACAATGTTGATGGGAAGGAAGCTCAGTTTGTCAGGCATCCCAGCCTCACCACGGGGGTCAAGGGAGTAACAGGGTGGGAAGGCAGGGCACAGAAGCAGGGAATCAGATCAGATACAGGGACCCACTACGCCTCATCTTCGACTCCAAGAGAAAAGGAGGTGTGACTTTCAGAGAAGAAAGGAAAGAATCTACCTTTACACAGAACCTATCCACTATCCAGACCCACATTGAACTCAACACCTCCCCACATGTACCAACTTGATCTTGAAAGTATTTAGTTGCTGTTTCATGCTCCAGCGGCTCAAGATTGGCATGCCA